AATTAATCAACCCCTCTCCCAGAGGCTAACCCCCCCTTAATTAATTTCCACTTGGTGGTTTTGTGTGTGGTGGCTATATTCTGCCTGGATTTTGGTGGTTTTTGCAAATGGATCTAGTGTTCCAGGGTGTTCTAGTACTTTTTGTTGTTAGCCTTCATAGGTTTTTGCTTTGTCCCTGCACTTCCCAGTTATATGCCTGCCCACTAACTTTTTCGAGCCCTCTCCCAGAGGCTAACCCCCCCTCAAGTTTTGGAGGGGTGCGTCCGTCATGGCGTACCCTAAAATCAAGTTTCTTGAAAAAATGACATGAGATTCCTTTTGTAGTCTTTAATTTTCTTTATGATTCTGCAACTCTACGGGAATATATATGTGCGATCAATTCTAGTTGATGGCCCCTGATGGCCTAGTTCATCTTGATTATTAATTGAGGGGTCTGAAGCATCTCTAGACCCTCTTGATTATTTTTCCACAGACCTTGCCCTAGCTTGATCCAAGGCACAGCCGGGGAATGCCAGGGAAAAACCCAATTAATTTTCTTTATCCAACATCTTCCCCGAGCATGAATTTCATCGACTTTCTCGGGTGATTTCCTAATTAATTGGAAAACATATTCTTAATTACCTTCTGCGCGGCTCGCTGGCCGTCGCGAATGGCACCCTGGCGAGGCGGAAACCCGGGGCGAAACAGGCACAAAGACGAAAGAGAAGCTCAGCCAATATTCTGCAGGGAAGTTGCACAATCTGCAACAGTATAAATAGGAAGAACATGCAGCCACATATTATTTTGGTGCCTTTGTTTAAAGGCCCAATAAGAAAGGGCCCCAAAAGCCAGTAAGAGGCGTAAGACGGGCTTGCAAGATCCTTCGAAAAGAAGGGACAGCAGCTGGAGTCGACCCCGACCCCGTGTGACAGAAAATGGGTACAAGATGGTACGCCAGTATAAAGTATTATACTTTCCCTATGGATCCAAGTACCCTCGTTTCGATTCGTTTCGAAGTTGTCTGGGGTGGGTGCCAGGAGAGTCCAAGTACCTTCTGAGGTACTTGGATCCCGGGTTCATGGCTTTTGGTGTTCGGGTCATGTCCCATTTTCTACAACGTTGGGTCCACCCCTCCGGGCTCGCCCCCGACCGATCCGACTCTCGATCCGGCCAGGCCTCGATGTAGCCGTTGCCAAAGCCAAGGTGATAGTCGGAGCCTCGCGAGGGGCGGGTTGAGATGGCAACGTGAACAGCATTAAGTCGCGGAAACGGGTCTAAGCTGCCGGAAGTTGGTGGAAAAAGGATCGACTCCATCGTAGACTTCATGAACAGCATGTGGTTTCAGCGTTTGATCTCCCATCATTGCGCCGCCGCCGCAACGTGACAGATTTCAATGAGCAAAGTAGCAATGGCTTGACAGTGCCCAGTGAGGTTCCAACCGCTGCTCCTGGAGGTCGTAGGTATACCCTATACAGATCTATACCGTCCGTGTCATCGGGACGACCCCCACGCCTGCGAGGAAGACATTGGGCAACTTTTCCATCTGTTGAAAGGCAGCCCAGTAGGACTCAGTCAGCTTGAGGAGCAATCCGGTGAGATCTCGGGTGGAGTCAGTCCGCTGAGTCCGGTCACCCTGAGTGGGATCGAAATGGCCAACGGTTCACCTCCGGCCTTTCACCCAATCCTCACATCCGAGTCAACCAGTCCGTCCGCCGCGCTTGGTGCTCCACCGTAGGCTACTCCGGACGAAAACCTCTCACAGTCCGCTCGGCCCTCACGCTGGCACCGAGATCACGCCGGGAGGGAAGAAGCCGGTATAGGCGCCCCGCGCGAAGGGTTGGTCCTCAGATGGGGAGAGCCATGGAGAGAACAAACTCCGTGCCATGGCACGAAAGAAACACGATCTTCTGACATGTCAAAGCCCAAAGCTGTCCAGGACAACTGGAAGAGTCCCATGGGAAAGAAAGAAGCTTTTCTGGGTGAAGCTGTGCCATCCGTTCCGGTGCTGGGCGATCGTTTCCATGTTTAAAAAAGCGGGGCTGATGGACCATTGGGGTCCGGATTGCTGCACTTATCCATTTCAAGCATTGCGGCCCCTCATCCATTCCAGCTTCGGTTTCAAACACTTCTGCCATGCATATAGGCAAGTGCAGCTCACTGTAACAAATCCCACTGAGGGCGGTCAGGCTAGCCATCTGTGAGGATGCTCACCATGCCAGCAACTATGTTGACAATCAATATGCTACATGGATTTTGAAGCTGCACTTCAAAGGATCTCTTCCACTAACTGTGGTGAATCAAAACCCTCCACTGTACTGGGTGATTTTTGGCGACATCAAGAACTATAAGCAGGGCCGATTTCTCCACGTGGACCGGACCATTGTGACCACTGGAGCCGACGAAAGCCCAAGTGTCGGCCCAGTTGTGGGATACGAAGCTGGGCTCGAAGCTTTGGGCCTCGCTGGGCTGAAGGGGGAACGTTTGGAACGTTCCCGGATCTGTACATGGGTGCCAAAAGCAGAAAAGGCACATCATCATGGCAAAGGGTGGAGAAAACATGTATATAGACACCCCAGAATTCCAGCATTTCTTCAAGAAGTAGTACTCCTTCACGATCACAAGGTGTAGCACTCCCCTACACCACCAGCAACAAGAACCTGCAGGAAGAACACAAATCCCTCAGCATGTCGTAGAGTCACATCTGTCCATTTTTGTTGGCACCCATGTACAGATCCGGGGTGTCTACACGTGTTTTCTCCACCCTTTGCCATGATGATGTGCCTTTTCTGCTTTTAGGGGGCCTGCGCAAAGCTTTCAAACATCAAAGTTCTGGGCTCTCAACTCACTGATGTATGCTTGAAGTTTTGAAGTTCGTGAATGTATGGATTCCATCTTGGCCTTCAGGAGTGCACAATCTGAGAAATCCCACACACACTGACACACACCGTGAATTTCTTGGGCGGATCCATCCACCTGGCCCCAGCTGTATCCTTCCCAAAGCATGTGCCTCCGGCCCCAAGGCATGCGCCAGGAAGTCAACGAAGAGCCGCTGCTGCTCAGCGGGAGGAAGCTGAGTGAAGTAGAGATTTTGACGACCTTCCAGGAAGCAAACCTGAGCATTAAGGCAACAACTTGGCATGTCCTCCAGGGATACTTTGAAGAGTCAGGTCTCCAATCCTAGTGTTGGGGGGAAGAACTTGGCGCACGGCATGCTGTACTAGGTGATCCGCAGCGATCTTTCGTCTGTGCCGTGCTGGTCAGACCTTGTCTGTGGTTCATAGACCCAAGAGCAAACGATTGACAAGGACGTCCATGTAACCATGCATCCAGAAACAAATGACAAGTGACACTGTAGAAAGTAGTACCGATCTGATGTGGAGTGTGACTTTTTAGTAAATCCATATTGAATCCAATCTAGTGCAATGGCTGTGTACGCTACAATACTCTAAACCTATGGCTGCGTGGGCTATCCTGAACCTATGGCTGTTTGGGCCACAAAAAAAACTCTGAACCTATGGCGGCGTGGACTATAACAACTCTGAACCTACTGAGTTCAAAGATGTTCAAAGCCAATCGGTCTTTACATGGCCACGCAGCGATCACGCCGATCTGCTGCGAGTAGGGCGAGTGGTCCATGCATTGCACAAACCTGAGCCGCTGGAGATGATACTTTCTTGATATATAACTTTTTGTGTTCCTACCAGAGGTACTATACTTCGTACCAGAGGGAGGCTCCTTTGGAACAGTCGCTGGGCGACTGCACAGCAAAAGTTTCTTCCAACATGAGGCCAAATGAACCGTGTGTTCCATTGCGTTCCTGGCAAACTGACCCGGAGCTTCACCCCCGACCACTATCCGGAATCCTGACCTGCACTTGGGCCCCAAATGCGACATCTGGTCAAAAGGTAGCAAAGGCTTCAAAATCTGGTGTGGTCAAGATATGTCAAAGTGCTTTTGTCAAAATTGGTTCTGACATGTTCTGATAAGTGAATCATAGTAAATCAACACTACCCGCCCCTTTCTCGAAGGACTCCAATCAAGCCACAAGGGCAGCTTCTCGTCAGGCGCAGGGAGTGACCAGTTGCCGGGCGCCAAGCTGAGGATGTCGCCCTGAAGGCCCAAGTGGCGCCACCATGGGCCCTGCTCGTACACAGCTGCCTGGAAAACGGCTCGGCCGAGGTGGCAGCCGAAGACTCGTAGATTCGTTCCTTTCGTGAAGGTGACAGCCAAACACTCCACACCCACACTGAACCTTTTTGAACCACCCAAATGTAAGCAATAATTACGCCATCTTATGCCAGTCCGTCCCATGTGTCGCGTCTGGGAATGCCAGGAGAAATCTTTGGATGATGTGGGAGGTGAAGATGTTGGATTGTCAACCTATGATCACATGGAATGTGGGACATCCATGCGGCCGCCCGTGACGACGGTCGGCCCTTCCCATGGCCAGCTTCAGGGAGGTGCCCATGGGCATTCGCTGCAGCCACTGGGCATCCAAGCCCTTGAGCGGGGGATCAAACCTCGGAATTCCCGGCCGGTGGCGTGCGATTGAAACGTTGGAAACCGATCTTGGATGATGTAGCACTGTAAATTATATGGGAGGGGTGCTTTGTTGGGTGCATGTTGACACTGGTGGAGCAGGTTTTGGCATGAATTGTTGGGTAGGCGTTGAAACCTCAAAAGCGCAAGCGTCACTCAAATTAGTCTCCATCAATCCTAGGGAAACAAAACAAAAGCCAGTGGGCCCGTCTCGAGTTTCACTCGACCTTTGTGCACAGCAGCGTGCAAGAGTCATGATAATATGTTGTTGCGTTCCTGTAAGGGAGACACTCCAGTGGAATCTAGGCCGGGAGACGGGAACAGTAATACTGATACTAGCTCACATTGTCGTAGTTCAACAAGCAACCATTGCTCAAACAAAAGCAGTGCAAACGGTCCTTGTGGTTCACCCTCTTTCCACCACAAGGTCCTTGCAGAACTAGGTCCGTGAGGCCACAGGCTATCGGTCCTAATTTAACCCTGCCAGTTTCTTCTGTTCTGCAATCTAAGCACTAGCACTAGCAGCAAGCCTTGATCCACACTGAGGCTGGGATTGGAAACACTCCCTATATTGGCCCATATTGGCCCAACTACAGGGACTGGGGAAGCCAGATTTCATCAAGCAGCTCCATCTTCAAGATTGCTGGTGGCGGCCCTGTCAGAATCGCTGCTCTCGCTCGCAAGGGCTTGCGGCCGCGTATGGACAACATCACACCATCCTGCAGCGAAGGCATGGCAACGGAGGGGCGTGGCGAAAACAGGGAAGTCAACATGTTCCAAACACTCCATGTATGGCATATTAATTGGGGTGGTTGAAAAGGGGTCCATGTAGGTAAATATGCCAGTCCCATAGTGTGTCTGGGTGTTGTGTGGGTCCCATTGCCGCATACTGCACTCGCGGGTACTGTGGTTCCTCGGTTTCATATCCCTTGTTTGGATGTTCTATGTTCTGGGTTCCACGCGCAAGCACCCACACACATGCACAAGGGCTTTTCACCAAGGCAAATGTCATGGATTCTCAACCGGCTTCCCTCACCCTCCCTCACCACTGCGCCACTCACCATTCACCATCACCGTCACTCAATAAGTAAAAAGAAAATAGATGAAACGCAAACAAACATTACCTGCAACTAATTCGCACCATGCTAGACCTCAGACCCGTCGACCCCTAAGGGTTACCCATTCTGACCCTAAGTAGTTGAGGGGATGAAAAGCAAAAACACATGCGCTTTGGAATCACAACCACAGACTCTCATCTCTCACCTTCTCTCAGACTTACCCTTGCAGCCAACGTCACAAGTTCACCCAAGCAAACATCAAAAGCACCTTTCATCCATTCTGCACCCCCATTCCGCCTGTCAGCTCATAACCCAGCCCTCAAAACAGCTCATAACTCAAAGACTGAGCTGCACTCTGCCATCCCCCTGGAGCCGCGGTTGGTGCCCGAACGGCGCCTGAGCACTTCGAACTCCGGTGACCTCGTGGCGCAGCTTCACGGCGCCCAGCCGCCGCTGGAGACGCAGGGGCAGCGCCTGCGTTCCGCCGCGCACGCGGAACCTGCGCGCGAGTCGCGGGCGACGCCCGCGACGGGCGTGTGGAAGTGGGGGGAGTTGTCCGGGAGTCCAGGAACTTCTAAGTAACTCAATGAGGAAATATGGTTCCAAATGCCTGGTCCGGTCGTCCCAAGGCCCCAATTGCCTCCCAATTTAGAGGGGTCTCCCTGTTCTAGCAAGATTTCTACACCGGTCAGTATTGCAGCTTCCATGTGTGTCTCCCACCCTGGCATAAACAAGCCAGCATTAATCAATGCAAAGACTAAGGTTCTAGCGAATTCTAGGGCCCACGTAACGTTTAGCAGGAATACCAATGTCATCCTCATGGCCAGTTCACAAGGGGAAAAGAAAACGACAACTGAAAGTTCACACGATTTCACCAGCTCAGCCACTGTGAATCAGGGCCACGGCTGTTGCAACCCTTGAAGGACAGCCTAAGCGGGACCCGTGCCGTCGTGTGCTCTTGGACCCGCCGTGCCAAACGAGATGGAACACAAACGGCACCCCGAGAGAAAAGAGTGGAATGAGTGGAGCGTTCCACAAGGTGGACTTGAAATCAGCCTCCTTGTTCCTGGTAGTAAGGCCAGGAGCCCCTAGTAGCGTCCTCTTGCTCCTAGTAGCAATAAGTGTGTTGTGTTTTTTCGTTTCATGATTTATTATGTACTATATGCTTGTCCATGTGGCCGATAGTGTATGTGACATGGTTTCCGAAAGGAGTATGTTGGTGTGACTTTGCCATGTTTAAAAGGAGGGTGCGCCCAAGAAGACATGAATCAAAGCCAGCCGATCGAACCAAAAGCTTTTGCAAAGTTCCACACAAAATGCCCAAAACAATATGTTGGCACTGGGGTATGTACCAAGTTCATCAATAATCCAAGTTCATCAATAATATCCTCGCCAGCCTGGTGCAACAGAAGGAGAGTTTCCTGACTTGGAACTATCCTCTGAACAAAACAACACCTTGTGATTAGAACAAGTCACCTGCCGCTGCCCTCCATAAACCAACTGCGTGCAAACATATACACACCCAAGCAGCAGGTTGTAGAGGAAGGATACCGCCTCTGGTTCCTGAGCATTCTTCGCGTGGATGCCTAAGCATCAAGCTGAAACATGCCAAAGTTTGGCTCATATGAGGGGTAAGATGGGGTGAGGCAGTGGCAGTGGCGATTAAATCCGTTCCTTCTGTCAAGCAGGCAGCAGTTTCTGATAGATCATGGCTGAGGCCCCTCTGAAACATGAGGTGCCTTTGCTGCTAGTTGAGGCGGGCTAGCCTGGTCACATCCAAAGTAACATATATAACCCAAACATACCCAAACACTCCATGGGACTGGCAGATTTACCTACATTGACCCCGGAAATCAACCACTGATTGTTAAATATGCCAGTCCCATGGGTCGTGTCCCGGGTCATCCATGTCTTTGACGCTTTGCCTCAAGTCATCTGCCGAAATCTCCTCGACACGACTTGACTGTCCGACGCTAGCAGCAAACCCACCCGGATATACGTCTGATTGCAACGCGCTTCGCGTATTTCTGGCCGTCTCAAGCCGACTTCTGAGACGGAAACACCGGTGCGTTTCGTGGTGCCCAACGTTGGAAGGCCCTGACGGACAACGGCCATTCGAACAAAGTTCATGGAAATTCTCCCCTCCCCAAACGGTTCTTTCTGGACCACACATGTCAATTTCCGATGACGTTCTGTTGGTGCCAGGTCACAATTCCGTAAGGCTTGTCGAGCCTCCTGGGCAGACTTGGGAGCTGGGCTGGGGCGGTGGGTGAACGAAACACATAAAAAAACATGTCAAATGAATTGGCAGTCATGTTGTTCTGTTCATGTAGAAGTTGCCCATATATATAACTTTTATATTCAGTCTGTTCATAGAGGGATGTGGTCTCACATGGTCTAACCGTTTCCAGGGCTTCTGTCTATCAACAGCAAAACATGTCTAAGAATCCTCATTCTCAAAGGAAGTTCTCTGTTCAAAAGCAAGTCTTAAATACAAGTCATATCTGCCCCACCAAGCGGAGAACAACATGGCGCGAACCAGCCCAGATCCTACAGCTTCTGATCTCCAAGGCTCTGAGCTCTGTAGCGCTTGCCCCAAGGTCATCCAGGTGTTGCTGGCATCCAAGCTTCGCCAGGTAGAGCTGGTTCCGTTGGAGTTCCAACACCTCTCAGTGGCTGGGGGGCGGAGAAGAATGCTTGCCATGCTGTTCAGAACGCTGTTTCTCAGTCAAGAGGGCTGTGCTTCGTCTCCCCACCGAACGAACCGGTTCATCAATCCCAACCTGCCCAGATCAGGTCTTTGGGGGAGGGAGACCCTCTGACCAAATGGACCCCAGGCCCCACATGGGAGCCACATGGGGGATGCCGGATGGGCCTCGAGATCCGGGCTGGGCCGGGGTAGGCTTGGCCTCTCTTCGTCCGGCTCCTCAGCCTGATATGTTCTCCAAATATTATCCTCCAAGCTTCTGTTCTCCCAATTCAGCCTTCTTGGTCTCCAGCAGGTCCTGGTATGGATGCCCGCGCCCCAAGAATATGGATGCCCTGGACGTGACACAATCGACTGATACAGGCTTCAAGAGAAGCTCCAGGTGGCAAAGCCCAAGAGAAACTAAAAATGGTGATTGCCAATCAAATGACGTTGACGATACCTAGTGACTAGTGCTCGTATAGCTTGGTAACCAGACCTGTCTGCACTAGGCACACGAAGTTCTGTCGAATCTCATTGCTCCCACTTCCCCCCCAAAATACAGCGATCCTAATAGGTGTAGTTCTACATGTGTTGGAAATCATATTCATCTACCGTGGTCACTCTTGGAGGATGCCAATCCGATAGAATCCAGCAACCAGCTCCAACAAGGCTCCCCCCCACATCCTAAACCACCTGCCTCTTCGCCCCCGTACATGGAACTCCTCTGCTGCTCGGAGCTCTCTTCGCACTTGAGGATCCAGCAATGCATTCAACTCGCCCGGGCTGCTGAAGGTCCGGCGCTGGTCACCGCTGAAGAGCACCGACCTCGCCGGAACAACGACTGATATAAGGGCTGGAGAGTCCAAGAGCCACCCGGCCAGGGGAGGTTCCCGAAATGTTTCGGGTGTCAACTTGCTGGTCGTGGTCACCCAGTGCCAACCCACCCACACAACTCAAGGTGAGGACTCGGATCCTTGTTTTGGGTGACGGACAACCAATCGGACGCATGGTAAATCGGGATTTTAGCTCACATACTGCTGGGGCATGATGTGATATGATATGCACACAACACACACACACACACACACACACACACACACACACGCACACAATATGCAGGGCCCCCTAAGGGGTGTCCAACTATCAACCCCTTAGGGGGCCCTGGAACCGATCTATAATGATCTATAGTGGTTCTGCCCAAATACAGGTCTGCAACTGCCATGCTGCAAGTGGCTTTCGCAAGAAAGGCCACTGCTCTTTCGGATAGTCAGAGCCCCAGTACCACCACGGCCAATCCTCCTGCGGAAAAGGAGAGAACGGCAAACCGGGCAGCAAATACAATGGATTAACCCTAGGCGTCAAAGACTATAAAAACAATCGCCTTTGCATAGCGACCATTATATCCTGGTCAAAGCACATTTGACCTCACCTAGGGGTGGCCAGAGAGGGAATTGCCTGTGCTTGGCCTGTCTTGGATCAATCAATTGATCAATTGCAATGCACTGAGGTATTGGGATTAATAAATTTCAATTATTGTGGATTGATATGAGGATGATGACTTTTAAATGATAGGCCATATAGGGCCACACTGACACGGATTTGGGAATGTGTCAACATATTTGGAGTATCACTGACCGATGTGATGAAACATCTATCACTGTATGCATGCATTATCCTTTTGATATTTTTAGATCCCTGGAGCGCGATGTTCCTTCTCATGTGGCCGCTGGCTTCTGCAAATGAAGAGGGCTATCAAAAAAACGTGCTGGGCTTGGTTGTCTCCTGGTCCAGGTTTGTGCATGCATCAATCACTGCAACAATGCATTAGTGCATGGTGTTTGTTGGCCTTGTGTTCTGGCAGCTAGGTGAATATCTTGACATCTCCACTGGGCCTACAGTGGAGATTGGGAGTGGTGCGCCATCCTATGTTTCGTTCTTTCCTGGCTAGCAAACAAGTTTCTCAGATCTGCTTTTGAGATTGTGGATGGAGAGGTTTTTTGTGCTGCAGTGTTTAGTCGCATGGTTGTGCGATGTTGCGCGACAGATGCATGCATGCATGTAAATATGGATCGACGGTAGTTTGCAGCCTGTGTCTCTTTGGCTGATCTAGTTGGCAATGGCTTCTCCCGAATCTGCCTCTTTGAAGCGGGTGGAACTTCTCAAGGTGCACCCAACATGCATGCAGTCTTGTAGTGGTGTTCTACCAGAAACAACGAGATAGCGCTGGTTGGAACATTGGTCCATGACCTTTTTCGATGTTGTTTGCGGTTTCAGGTAGTGCACGTATGTGCAATGTGCATGCATAGGAGTTGCCTCGTTGTCTGCTATTTGCTGGGTCGCACAGGCCTTTTTGGTTGATGTCCTGGACGATGAGAGTTTCCTCTATCAGCGACGTAAACTTTTGAGGCAGAGAGCAGGGCTTACTTCAAAGGACAAAAATGTGGTTCTAGCCTCGGCTTTGATTTGACAAAGTGTTTGGTTGAGTGTAAACGGAGTCCCCAATATTATTGACAGCTTTCAAATATGGTGCATATATATGCACTGTTCATTCACTATTGCGAGTGCACATGCACACACAGTGATGGAGAAGTCGTATAATATTATTGTGACTGTTCTCTTGATCAAGGCTGTAAAATACTATAAAATGTGATGGAGCTTGAGCACCATTGGACCCAGGTTCCAAAGTGGCAGTTCATCGTGCTTGAGAAAAGCCATGTGGGATCCAGGGAGGTGAGGGCCAGCATTTCTTACATTGGAATTGGGAATGCGCGCGCATGTGTGCATAAGTCCAGCAACATGTCCAGCGAGGGCATGGTCGATACACATAGTGTGAATTAGATCCACAGTACCTGTCATAACTTGACAGGTGCAAAGCGACGTGAACTTTGAGTTCATTCTGAACTTTTTGGCTTCGTTCGCTCATGATTTACCACGGCCAGTGGAAGTTAAGGTGGGATGGCTCAACCAGGGCCACTGCATGTATGATGATTGAAATGCGCTATAGTAGATCATAGTGTGTATATCTTATTTGCTTGATTTCAAAGGGGTCTGCATGAGGAAAGTGAATAGATCGATGTGGATTCAACCTGTGCGATCTATACAGTATGTTGCATACTTGATTGTGCACTTTGCCAGGACGCTTTGGCCTGGTGCTCCTCACACTACCGCCTGAATCCATTCAAGGAGTTTGCCCTCCATGAGGCCCAATTCAAAACAAAGTGCTGATGTGATGGCTGGACAACGAGCTTGCAGAATGCAAATGTGCCAGCTATTGTTTTTGTATAATAATTTACGTCTTTGACACCATGAAATGGTAATTGCATTTCCCTTAGCCTATATCTGGCAGGAGTGGGCAGATGTTGAGGGAGGGATCTTGAGGGCAACCATGGCATATTGCCTGGCCAGATTCCAACGGAACCAGGACACGAGGCTGGCCTTTTTTTCCTGCCAATGGTCAGTCATGAACCTGAGTGCATTCACCGCTATGACGCGACTTCTTTGATTCCATGGATGCATGCACTTCAATATTATAATATGGCTCATGGAGAAAACATGATCTGAGATAAATTACTGACCTACTCGTGCTTGAACATTTGTTGTAAACGCATCCATGCTATAATATATATTATTTGTCAATGACTTTTGCCAGGCGAGGCCATGTTCGCATGCAGCAAATCAAAGAAGTGATCCGTTGCAAGCTTATGGACTGGCTTGCATGCTTTGTTGTGTGCATGTGCATGCTTACATGAAAGAACAAGTCATGCAAGCTTAGCAAGCAGCAATTAACGTAATTCATGTGTTGTAAAACGTTGCAGGCATGCAGTGCAGAACTCGATCAATCTATCGATCTATAACTTTCTGCCAAGTGCACTAGATTAACTGACGTGACAATCTTATAGATTTTGGACCAGTCTCTGCAAAACAAGTAGGTGTTTCATGTGTGCTTATAAGATCAAGAAAACAAAATTGTAATTGCCTGTTAGTGGTCAAGTGGTCAAGTTGGTCGTTTCAATATACCCCTGTTAGCTATTAGTGGTACTATGTGCTAGCTAGCATGCAAGTCTATCCTGCCCATCCATCTCCACTCAGTTTGATCCATCAGGAGTTCGATCTTCTCAGCCCTGACGGGAAGAAGACTCCGACCCGGGGTGTTGGCGCTGCTAGACTGAAGCAGCAGGAGGCTGGACAACTGTCATATTGGCACTATAAAACATGTCATTTGATGAATTGAGCCTAGGATTCTAGTAGTATAGTTGGTGGACACTGTGGACGCCATAGATCAGATCAACTACATAATCGTGCATGCATGGTCTCAATGCGTCAGGCCGCCAAGAAAGCAGTTCTCATGGACTCGATGGAGACACAGTTGATGCATGATTCCCAGCTTCCGGACCTCTCTCCTATCTCAAGACTACAGTTGGAGTTGCCCAATGATCAGGAAAGAACTGATCATGATGTTGAGATGGAAAAGGACTCTAGTGGGTCTAGTACAGAGGAATCAGCTGAGGAAGAACTCGAGGCAGACGATGAGATTGTAGAACCAGTTGACCCTCATTTTGAATGTGTTTATGTCGTTGACAGTGACCAAGAAACTCTGCTTTCTCCGAACAAGGGCAACAAGCCCCCGGCGCCTGAAGTTGTCGAGCCAGTTCCCGAAGTGGCCATTGATGGTCCTGGAAGTGGTAGCATGGTGGTGGTGCAAAATGCTGAACCTAAGCCTGCAGAACCCGAGGATTCCCATCATGAGTTAGGTCAAACAGGCTGTGGAGGCTTTGATGGTGTCTGACGATGATGAAAAGAATGAAGAACGCAAGAGCAAAGGAGTCTTCAAGGACTCACTTCCATTCTTGTATATATAGTGCACATGTATTGCCGGAAATTCTTTAATTTAATGTTTCCAGAATGCTGAGTAGTCCCACTCTCTCCCGACTGTGTTTGGTAGTTTAGCGAAATTCAATCAAGGTATATCTCAAATGCAATTGAGTTTTTGTGCCTTGTTGTATAGGACAAGAAGGCTTTGACCCCACAGATTGAGATTCCTCAAGGCCTCGAAGAACAGGCAAAAGTCCAGGCCCAACGCATTCTTCTGGACCTGGGGGTCACAAAGGAGGAGCATGAAGCAGAAATCTTGAAGGCCTGGCTGGGATCTGTGCATGCACATATTGCTGTAGGCATGCGCAGCCATGCCTAAGCGCAATCCCCCCAAAAGAAAGGTGCGACCTGATCATGCATGTTCAAAACTTTGGGCGAAGGGTAAAACGTATACGCGTATAATTCAATCAAAAGCTGGTCAAACATAGATCGAAGAGATTCGAAGAGGTAGTTTATATAATGCCACTCAAGCCTATCTCACAGCCCCCATCCGTTTGTCCAAAGAGCAAGTATATCATATCATGTTGTTGAGAACCGTTCCCAGTCTTTCGAATAACAACAAAATAAACTATAAATTCATGGCCAATCATTGTTCCCCTCCATCTCTCTTTGGATCCCCAATGAGGCCCAGGCAGCATTGCGCCAAATGGCCAAGGAGGTGCACCCTGAGGATCCTGACAAAGATTTAGCAGATGCTCTACAGGATGCCGAGGCCCAAGAGGCTATGAAAGCTCGTCGAGGGAAGGGAAAAGGTCGTGGCAGGGGTCGTGGCGGTGGTGGAAGAGGAAGAAAGAAGCCAAAAAAATGAGATGGAGGAGACTATCCCGAAGGATGATGCACTGACAAAAGAAGAAAAGATTGGGAGAAAAAAAGGCTAAGAAAAAGGTGGATGACCAGAATGAGGAAGAGAAAGTGATTCCACCGGAGGTAGCTGAGACGGGGGAAACGAAAGAACCCCTGGACCAGGAAGGTCATCGTCAGAAAGAGACATCAACGCATCGGAGTCCGAAACCCAATCTGAAGCGGACAAAGTCGAGACGCCGTGCCCTTCTCAAGCGTTCGAAGTCGAATCAGGGTGCCAGTCCTCTTTCCAAGAAGAAGCGAGTGAAGATCACCAATCGTCCTGACAATACAGAGATGGCAAGCTCATCAACCCAGGGCAAGTCTCTTAAGTCGAAAGGAACAGGTGAACCTCTTCAAGAAGCAGGAGGAAAAACTGATCCAGCAAAGGTACAGCCAAACGAGAATCAGGAACATCAGAAAGCGAAGAAAAAGAACATTCTCAAGGATCGATCAACTCGATTATATCAGTCCATTTTAGACTTAGAGGGTCTTCACCATATGACATTGCACAGTCAGCCCTTTTTTCTTTATGTGCTTCCAAGGGAGACATTGATCTCCTGGTCGCCTGGTCGCCTCAGGAGGACAAGATTGCGATGCTTGCTGCTCTTGCTGAGCAAGATGATCTAATGGTTGTTCCCGAAAGTGCAAGCTCAGCAATGCTTGCACCCCAGTTCTATAGAAAACAAACAGGTTGCCTGAGTGATCTCCTGATCAAACTGACATCAAGAATCGTAGTTGGATACACATGCACACAGATGACCATATATAGCCACTATGATGTGGGTATAATATTCAATTCATATATACCATATAATATATATATAATATTTATGGGTGCTAGCTCATATATTGACCAGGTCCTTCACAGTCTACCCGCCGGATGTTCCAGAAGGGCACCCTCGCCTCTCTTCAATTGGGGTCGTGCCGGGGGCCAAGCCAGTGTAATGTTCAGTGCTGAGAAAAATATAAAACATGCATAGTTGAAATGGGATGGCCACCCATATTACTGTTTCGCAGTGGTAACCAGCTCAGTCTTGAAAATGCAATCTATTACACATGATGTCGACAAAATCTGTTTGCCCAGGATGGCGACAACTCGCAGCAACACAGCCAGCTACCAGGTTTCCAAGGTAGACTCGTTGGAGGAGCGTGTAAAGCAAATCAATGAACACATGGCAAATGGCCAGGTACCCCTCAAGGCAAGCCGAACGTCGCTTTGGAATGCTAGCTAGTCAGTTTGATTTTACCACACAACTTGTTTAAATGGGCCAATCGCTTTCTTGTTGCTATTCTGCACTCCTGGCAGGCACAGAAGAAAGGGGTTACCATCACTTGGAACGTGCATGGTGGCTGTGGGCCTGCGTTGGGGCACCTAGCCTGTGTGACTGCATCTCACTGGCAGTTTGCGTGTGATCGATATATCTGATAATTATAGATCGAAGTATTTTCAGCTCAGCAATCTCCAACCCCGGGTGATCTTGGAAAGACTTTAGGATCATGAACATTTTATTGCATGACATGGGATGGGAATCCCCCGCAGTCCATTTGTCAGGTGGAATCTCGCCAAGGACGCAGCTGGGTGGCCAAGGAAATCTGCGCAAGAATGATTGCCTTGCGCGCGTCGTGTTCGAGCTAGTGATATGGATTGTACTTTTGGATGTACAATAGCTGCAAAGTTGATCGTCTCCCCAGAGGTGGCACAGGCACATGCTCATGCATAGAGACCTGCATAACTTGATCCAGATTCAAGTCTGTACACAACGAATGAATGATGTGTCACTGCTGGGAACAATCGATGATTTAAAACAAAGGTGTTCTTCACACCATAGTACGTGGAACTAGGAGCCTGGCCACTATTTGAGTCTTTTCTGTACGGGTTGATCCAACTTCCGGGTAGTGTGACTTTTCTTCTCCACTCTCAACATCCTCAATATACTGAAGTCCCCCTTACAGCCTGACGCAAAGCCGTTGATCTGGCATCGATGGCCTGAAGCCCAGCTCAGAGAATGGTCAGTCTCAACTCCAGTTGGTGTGTGCAGGGGTATGCTCTTGCATGCGATCATATGATCGTACTGGGAGAACAAGAGTGGGAAAAAAAAAGACAGTTTGAATGCCATCAAATCTGAGCTTTTTTTTCTACGCTGGAAAGAACAGACATGTATTGGACCTTGACAGAGCTGAGCATCCCTGCAGCCCAAGCAGATCTTGACAGGGAGTTGCAGGACCTAGGTGCGTCCGATGGCGGTTGGAAAGTCATGGGCCCACTCGCCACTAGCTTTGAGTGTCAAAGCTTCAAACCTACTTCTTTCTTGGGGCGTACCACTTTTGCTGCTACTTGGCTTATTAACTACCAGGCATATACTCGACCCACTAGCTGATTTCACCGATATATGATATATGCAAATTGTAGGGCACTCGATGGTCAGTTGGGAGAGTTTGTTTTTAGTTGGCCATTTGGAGAACATGCCCAGGCTCCATCTATGTGACTGTATCGCCCAAGATGTTCCCATGAGTAAGAGCCGCCGTGTCTGGAGCTTATGCTGAATATATCACAATTGGTCCAACACAGCTAGCTAGATCGATGATGATGTCTAACATGTCACACTATGGTCATGGGTTGCCAAACTGTGGCAGGATCTATGGGCTGTGGATGCTTTCTGCGGGCAGGCAGAAATTACCCGTGCCTTTCGCCAGGATCTCAGTGAGAGGCATCGAATCTAAGTTGCCTCAATTATAATTAATTAAATTTATAAATTAAGTTAAACCAACAATTTGATCAATCAGGGAAAACTCTGGGGACAGGTATCTCGAGACTGTGATGAATGGTACATGCGTATTTAATAGCGAGCCCGAGTGTTGTAGATTTTGTATATCGCATGATCCTGAGGAGCTCAGGGGGGCAAAGGTGTTGGGGACCCAAACGGCTGCTGGGTAGTGGAAGGGTGGAAACACTGCAGTACTGCAAGTGTGTGCATGCTGTGCCTACCAAATCACCTGCTTACCTCATGAGCTCAGTCTATTTCAAGTTTTTATGCAATTGTGAACACACCCATCGAGAGTGAACACTGAGTCGTGGCACTTGGCCAAACTAAAAGCAAGTGGCATGAGAATCATGTGTGATTTGCATTTGAGCTAAGTTATGAGCGATTAATTTTAGTTTGGCCATTGGCGATGACTGTGGCTGAGGGGGGCACTTTGACCTTGCCGAGGGTGACCATTGCGACATCCTGTCAATGCCTATAACCCAGCTTGTGTAGAGAAGCGGTCTGCTGGAGGCAACCATTGGTGGTAGATTTGAGATAAACCCTGCAGAATGACCTCGAATAGATGTAGAATATTTTGCTTTGATCAGTTCTATAAACAG